GTGCGGGCCCCGGGCCTCCAGCCCCAGCGGTGCTTGTAGGGGGTCCGGGCGTGTGAGGAACAGGCCCTAGTGCGCATGTCTGTTCTGCAGACAGTGGTTCAGAGGCCCCTGTTTCCCCGCCCTGGTTTGGACCAGGCTTCTGGTGCACGAAATGGGGCGAATGTTCACATTGCAAGGCTCAGTGTGATTAGAAGGCGTTCGCTCGCCTGGGCGGTGCCGCAGTGGTTGAGCTTCGACCTGTGAACCAGGAGGTTATGGTTGGACTCTACCGGGGCACAGGCGGGGTTGAGGGCTGGGTCCCCGTAGGGGGCTTGCAGGAGGCAGCTGGCCTCGCCCTTCTTTTGCCCAGAGCCCTGGGTGGCTCTCCTCCCCACCCTCCCTCAGCCTGGACGCCCCCTGCTCTGTGGCAGCGCCGCTTCGTCCACTCCCTCCGCTGCGGCCCCAGGAGGCCGGCCTCACGCTGAGCCGCTCCTGGCACCCTCCATAGTTCACTGGTCCCGCAGCTCAGTGGCTGGGTGGTGTTCTCACCGACGGCTGCCCCTCCACACTCAAGGGGCCAAAGAGCCGCATGTGGCTCGAGAGCCTCCTAGAATGCTGCCCGCACAAAGCAGTGCAGTCCTAGCCCCACTGCCACCTGTGTTTGTGGGGCCCTCAGGGAACACTCAGGGCGTGATCTCACCTTACAAAACAGGCCAATAATTGTTGCGTGAACATCTTTTTAAAAGTATTTTTTTTATTGATATCAGAGAGGAAGGGAGAGGCGGAAACATCAGTGATGAGAATCCTCGATCGGCTGGACCAACATGGCCTGGTCTACAGAAACCACCACAGATGCCCACAGGCCCGCATGCTGCTGGGCGCCATGGTGGGCAGGGAGGTGGGGCAGGGCCGGGAGACGCCAGGGCTGGCCCCCCAGGGGCGTGGCCCCCAGGGTGGAGTGGGGCACTGACACCAGGTGAACCATAACTGCCCCCACTCTGTAACCACCTCCATCCACACACACCGGGTACCAGCCCTGCCCAGCTGGGACCATCCCACCCAGATAGCTCCATCCCTGCCTTCCTCTCCCGGCGCCTGCGGTGGGTGGGGCCTGGAGTGGGCGCTTTACCAGCAAAGAGGAAGTGCCCTTCAGCTTCCCTCTGAACCGTTTTTTCATCGTCACCTTTTGCTGTGAGAGGCAGCACTGCAGGCTCCCGCTGTGGAGTGCGAGGGGTCCCGCTGTTTGCCTCCGGGGCTCCTGCCTGGAGTGGCCCTCCCTCCTGGGGAGACGCAGCCACAAGGGTCTTAACCAGGGAGGGTCTGGGCAATCCCCCCGCAGGGCTGGCCTCCCAGGGGCCACCTCCCCCAGGGTGGGGTTGCACTCCTCGGGAGAACTTGCTGCCGGGGTACAGATCACTGTGAAAACATTAGGTGTTTTCATAAAATCTTTCCCAGGCTGCACAGCTGGCTTTGTTGGCCGCCCTGTTTTGCACAGCACAGGTGGGCCCCCAGCTCTGGGAGAGGTGCCGCTGTGTCCAGCTCTCTATCATAGACCGTTCTCAGAGAAGCATGACTGTTTTCATGCTTTTGCAGATCCTTCTGTTTATTTCCTCAGAAATAATTCCTGCTCTGACCAGTGTGCTCAGTGGTTAGAGCATCTGCCTGCGCACAGTAGGGTTGTGGGTTCGATTCCAGTCAAGGGCATGTACCCGGGTTGCAGGTCGGATCCCCACCCTGGTTGGGGAGAGTGTGGGAGGCAAGCAATCGAGGTGAGACACATTGGTATTTCTCTGTCTCTGCTCTCCCTTCCTTCCACTCTCTCTGAAAAGCTATAGAAAAAACACCCTCTGGTGAGGAGTAACAAAAAAACTAAAACTAATAACAACAAAAAATAAATAATTCCTAGCAGTGGAATTTTTAAAAAATATATTTTATTGATTTTTTTATAGAGAGGAAGGGAGAGGCATAGAGAGTTAGAAACATCGATGAGAGAGAAACATCGATCAGCTGCCTCCCACACACCCCCTACTGGGGATGTGCTCACAACCGAGGTACATGCCCCCCCCCTTTTTTTATTGCTTAAAGTTTTACAAAGGGTATTACATATGTGTCCATTTTCTCCCCACCCTTGACAATCCCCTGGCCTCCCATACCCCCCAGTGTCTTATGTCCATTGATTATGCTTATATGCATGCATACAAGTCCTTTGGTTGATCTCTTACCCCCCTCCCTCCTGCCCCCCAACCCTTCCTTCCTTTTTAGAGCGAGGTACATGCCCTTGACCGGAATTGACCCTGGGACCCTTCAGTCCACACCCCAATGCTCTATCCACTGAGCCAAACCAATCAGGGCACAGTGGAATTTTTTTAATTGGAAAAAAATTTTTAACATTTTTATTGATTTCAGAGAGGAAGGGAGAGGGAGAGAGAGATAGAAACATCAATGATGAGAGAGAATCATTGATTGGCTGCCTTCTGCACGCCCCTCACCGGGGAATTGAGCCTGCAACCTGGGCATGTGCCCCTGACCTGCATCGGCCCGGGAGCTTCAATCCACAGGCCGGCACTCTATCCACTGAGCCAAACCAGCCAGGGCTGATTGAAAATTTTATGGAGAATCACATGCGATTCTAAGATACAACACAGAAAGCGCCCTTGTGCGTGTTGGCTAGTTCCTCAGAGGGAACCTTTTATAAAACAGCAGAAGGTCACCCCCGGGACATAGACACTGATACAAGCCTCCCATCTTGTCCCAACTTCCCAGTCTTCCCTGTATCCCTATGTGTCTCAAATTCTGTACAATTTTATTACCCTAGTTCTGTGGTCGGCAAACCGCAGCTCATGAGCCACATGCGGCTCTTGGGCCCCTTGAGTGTGGCTCTTCCACAAAATACCACGTGCGGGCGCGCACGTACAATGCGGTTGAAACTTCATGGCCCGTGCGCAGAAGTTGGTATTTTGTGGAAGAGCCACACTCAAGGGGCCCAAGAGCCGCATGTGGCTCATGAGCTGCGGTTTGCCGACCACTGCCCTAGTTGCTTCCTGCATCCAGAGTCCGGACACGAAGAGCCCCAGTGATGGTGGCTCCCTGTGCCCGTCTGTAACCACACCCACCTCCCAGATGTCACCCATCCCTGGCAGCCACTAACCTGCCCTCGGTCCCTATGCCGCTGTCATTTCGGTGCCCTGGAGGTGGAGTCACAAAGTACGTAGCTGCTTTGCCCCGCGCAACTCCCTGGAGACCCGCCAAGTTGTTGCATGCGTCAGTAGTGTGTTCCCTTGTGTTCGGAGTGGTATTCGATGGTGTGGGTGGACCGGTTTGTGTAACCACTCACCTACTGAAGATGGGTTGGTTCCAGCTCTGGCCTGTTACTGTACACATACTCTGTGTGGGCTGTGGTGTGAGCAGAAGTCTTCATTCCTCTGGGAAAGGTTCCCAGAGCAAACTACGAGGCCATACATACTTGCGTGTTTAGTTTTTGAAGAAACGGACAAGTTGGTTTCTGTGGGGTGCAGCTACAGTGTTTTGGACAGGTTCAAGCCTCGGACTAATGAGAGGGCACAGTCCTCTCATGGCCACGTGCAAGTCCCACCCTGGAGGGCAGGGCCCTCCCAGCACCATTCTAGCCAACAGCTGTAGCTGTAAGCTTGAGCCTATGGTCCGAACACGTGGCCCCACGTGCCTGAGTGATGTGGGCTTGATAGAGTTCAGGTGCATGTAATTGAGTAGGATCAAAACCCACGAGAATGTTGTAAACATCCTGACTATGCCCTTACTTTGCC